TGCTCGCTGTAACCTTGAACTCCTGGCTTAAGCAGTCCTCCCACCTCAGCTTCCTGAGTGACTGGGACTACAGATGTGTGCCACCATGCCTGGCTAATTTTTTAATTTTTTTGTAGAAATGGGTTGCTACGTTGTCCAGGCTGGTCTTAAACTCCTGGGCTCAAGCAGTCCTTTCACCTTGGCATCCTAAAGTGCTAGGATTATAGGCATGAGCTACCATGCCCAGCCTCCAACTTTCTAATATTTGAACAAAATTACCCATTTGTTTTTAATATACTTAAAAATATCCTCTCTTACTGAATCTTATAACAAATATGTTAATTAAGTAGGAATTATCATTCCCATTTTTCAGGTGAGGAAACTGATGTAACTGCCTTATTGTAAATCACATGAATAATATATATGATGGCACTGGCTACCCATGCTCATATGATCTGATCCCAAACCCTCTTATTTCTGTTATTTATTTTTTTTACTGTTATTTCACTAATGTACATGTCTTCAGTTAGATGGTAAACTCTCCGAAGAGAGACACCTTGTATTAGACAGTCCATGCCTTTCATTGCATATGGCGTGATACTTTGCACCTAGTTATGAATTGATTTATGATATACCAAGGTAAAAAAGTACCTATATACTGCTGGGTATGGTGATTCATGCCTGTAATCTCAGCATTTTGGGAGGCCAAGGCGGGCAGATCACTTGAGCTGAGGAAGTCAAGACCAGCCTGGGCAACATGGTGAAACCCTGTCTACCAAAAATACAAAAACTTAGCAGGCATGATTGCACATGTCTGTGGTCTCAGCTACTTGGGAGGCTGAAGTGGGAGGATCGCTTAAGCCTGGGGCAGGGGCAAAGGTTGCAGCAAGCCGAGATTGTGCCACTGCACTCCAGCCTGGGTGACAGAGTGAGACTCCATCTCAAAAAAAAAAAAGAAAACTAATTATATAAGATTACTAGTATATATTATTACAGAAATTGAGACACTGGAGATTTGTAATATTAGGATTCAGAAAAGCATGTGGGAGGCAGGACAGCATAGTGGTTAAGCACAGCACAGTGGTTAAACACATGAGCTCTACATAGGTTCCAATCCTGGCTCTGCCCATTAATATTTATACGACTTTGGGCAAGTTACTTAATCTCTCTAGACCTTAGTTTCTTTCTTGGTAAAAGGAAAATAACAGCAACAGTAACAATACCCATTGCATAGGGTTGCTGTAAGAATTAGGTGAATTAATATTAATAGTTGCAATGCATTTAGAATGATGTCAGCACTTAGTAACCCTTACTGTTGCTACTATTCTTTTGTGGTTATAGGGAACTTCCTGGAGGACTCCTGTTAATGCTGGTAGCCAAATGAGGTAGAAAAGTATCCCACAGGATGAGAGGCCAGTTGCAAAATGCTGGCTTTCAGGGTCTCACTTACATGGTACATAAAATAGACTGAGCAAAATGAGGCCTTTTACACAACTCCAATTCACTTTGCTGATATTGTCTGTGATTCTGACCTGACTAGACAAACAAACCTCTGTCATAGCGTAGCCCTAGAGTACTTGAGAACTTCCTAGGGCAGCCAAACCTGTAGAACAGCTGTCAGACCTGAAGCCTAAACTCACTGATGTTATCAAACGCCTTGGTAAAGTCAACAAACTAATTTTTCAAGGTGTTCCTGAACTAGTTCTGTGGGTCTGTTTCCCTGCACAGGTCATATCCACCAATGTACCTGCAGCTTAAAACCACTCATTCATTTCTTCTTTCAATTACTGAGTGCTCAGTTTGTGCCAGGCAGTGGGGATACACAGGCTGATATGGTTTTGCTGTGTCCCCACCCAAATCTCATTTTGAATTGTAGCTCTTACAATTCCCACATGTTGTGAGAGGGACCCAGTGGGAAATTATTGAATCATGGGGGTGGTTTCCACCATACTGTTCTTACAGTCATGAATAAGTCTCACGAGATCTGACGGTTTTATAAGGGGTTTCCCCTTTAGCTTGGCTCTCGTTCTCTCTTGCCTGACACCATGTAAGATGTGCCTTTCACCTTCCATCATGATTGTGAGGCCTCCCCAGCTACATGGAACTGTGACTCCATTAAGCCTCTTTTTCTTTAAATCACCCAGTCTTGGGTATCTCTTTATCGGCAGCATGAAAATGAACTAATACACAGACCCTGCCTGGGGAGCTCATACCAACCTGGATAAAGAGCCCAGTGTAAGAAATACCACATTGGAAGTATCAGCCAGAGTTTTCTAGAGATAAGGAATAGTCAAGTGGCCCAGGCATGCTCCTAAACTCCCTGCAATACACAGGAGTCCACAATGTCAATGGTGCTGAGGTTGAGAGAAATCCTGGGCTAGAAGATCTCTAAGTATTTCTCTAGCTCTAAAATTTCTATGTTTGTTTTGCTTCTTTTAAGCTTATGCATATGTTTAAGTAGCAGCTTCCTTCTTTTCTAAGTGGAAGATCATCTAATAATAAGGTATAGCTTCCCATAAAATGGTGGAATCTGCTTGTACCATTCCTGCCAGGCTGCCAACCAAGTGATGAGAAGTTCATCACCTCAAATCTTGGGGAGAATCCCTGTGGCATCAATGGTCAACTTCCAGCTCTGTGGGGTTAAGGGGATAGGACTTCCTTGAATAAGTAAGGGAAATCTACATGTCATGCAGAAGTCTTATTTCAGACATCACTTAAAAAATTTAGAGATAGTATTTTCATTATTTTTTTCTCTCTTTTTACAATCAATCCTTCCTTCCTTCCTTCCTTGCTTCTCTCTTTCTTTTTTCCTTTCTTCCTTTCCTCTTTCTGTTGCCCAGGCTGGACTACAGTGATGCAATTATACCTCACTGCAGCCTCCAACTCCTGGGCTCAAGTGATCCTTCCTCCTCAGCTTCCTGATTAGCTAGTACTACAAGCATGTACCACCACACCTGGCTGATTAAAAAACATTTTTTTTTTCGTAGACATAGGATCTCACTATGTTGCCCAAACTGGTCTCAAACTCCTGGCCTCAAGTAATCCTCCCACTTTGGCCTCGCTAAGTGTTGGGAGTATAGGGCTGAGCCACTCTGCCCAGCCTCTCTCTTACTTTTCATAATAGTTATTCGTGGGGAGCAATGATCACTGGCTTCCATTTCACTTGTCTGTCCTGCTCTTGCCTTTTAGATTGACATGCTCTGAACAATGAAATGGTTAGATGCAAGTGACAACCAGGACTGTCAAAATGTGACATCTATTAATCCCTAGACTGGATTTTCAAATCCCCAAAACTCCAAATTAGCTCCAATTGTTCCAGGCATTTGCCTTTCTTTTTACATCTGTTTTCTGCTTCAGACCCCATGGCTCTCAAACGGCAGAGGATGGTCAGTCCGAATATTTTCCCCCGGGAAACAAAGAGTACAGAAGCATTCTGGAGCAGGGCTCTGTCCTCTCAGAGAGCAAAGCTGGATGGGGAGGTCATGCCACTTCAGTCCACTGCTCAGTTAAAGCAGAGTCTCTGCAGGTGGTGAGCAGAGTCTCTGCGGTGCAGGTGTAATCAGGGCATCAGAGCTGAGGAGCTGTAGGCATGACTGACTTCCCTCTGTAGAGTTCCAGAAAACCAGGCTTTCTAATCCTGAGTCTATCATTTACCAGGGTGACCTTGAGCATGATCTTTAACTCTTTAAACCTCAATTTCTTTGTCTTTAAGATGGGGAGAATAATAATACCAATTTTATTGATTTTTTTTTTTCTGGGGATTAAATGAAATGATCTATGTCAAGTGCCTGGAGGACAGTAAGTTCTCCACTAGAGCGTAGCAGTTGTTAGTGCTGGTGTCGTGGTTGGGCCTGAGACATATACAGGAGAAAAATAGGGCTCAGTGTTATCGTCCAGAAAGAAGTAGTGCAAAGAACCCCTGTTTCTGGCTGGGCACGGTGATTCATGCCTGTAATCCCAGCACTTTTGGAGGCTGAGGCTCACTTGAGGCCAGGAGTTCAAGACCAGCTTGGCCAACATGGTGAAACCTGTCTTTACTAAAAATATAAAAATTAACTGGGCGTGGTGGCGTGGGCCTGTAATAACAGCTACTTGGGAGGCTGAGACAGGGGAATCACTTGAACTTGGGAGTCAGAGGTTGCAGTGAGCCAAGATCACACCACTGCACTCCAGCCTGGGTGACAGAAAGAGACTCTGTCTCAAAAAAAAAAAAGGAAAAAGAACCTCTCTTGATATGCACTCCTCACCAGAATTTTATCCCATGCTTTTTGCAAAGAGGGAGAGAGAGAGAAAGAGAGCAACAGAGAAAGAAAAACGGAGGTGCCCAGTACTAAGGCCATAATCCACTGATAAGTATACTTGTTCTCCTCCTGCATGCTTCCGGAAGCTTCCTAAAGGTCCCTTCCAAACTCTCCCTTTCTTTTACTTCCAAACCACATGAGTTACGCAGGAAGACACAGGCATCTGTAGATCAAAAGTTTTGACCATGAAAAAGTGGAAACAGAAAGCTTAACTTCTTTATCTTGTCAGCATCTGAACATGGTGACAAATTTAAATTTTAGTCTCTGAGGAAGCGTCTCGCTGGGTCAACTCTCATACGAACTTGTTCCTGTATCTCACCTATCATGGCTTCCTCTTTGAGTACAAATGACGGCTGCACTCATAAAGGGTCTGGTTCAGGACCATCCTGGCTGGCAAATGTGGCTGTGGCTGCCTCTGGCAACTTCCTCTGATCAACCCCTCAGGGCTATATGAGAGTGACATGTGGTAAAATACCAGAGATGCCACCGATGGTGTGTCTACAAACATGATGGCCTCACTCCTTCCTGCAGAGAATTCCAGTACCAGAGTCATCTGGAAGCCAAAAATAATTGGAAAGCTTTGAACTCTTGAGGAGAAATCCAAGCTTCTAAAATAAATTTAAAACTGAGCCGAGGGGAATCCTACTTAAATAGGTAGCCACCTGGGATTACATAAATTCCGAATTTCTTAGAGTAACTTGTAGTTATCTGGTTACTTACCACAGCAGCTCCGCTCACAGGCACCGGAGGTCCTGCGTGGCCGTCGCATCTGTGGAAATAATTTGAAATGATTTCTTTGAAGAAGAGTCTAACTTTTACTGGGAGGAAAAATCAACAGCACATTTGCCATTAGCTTTTGATATCCTGAGAAGATCTAGTTCTAATTCTCTGCAGAAAGATGTTTCTTCGTTAGTGCATTATTGAAAAAAAAAATTAGAAACCATTTCCTATGATTGCTTAGAATCAATGCTTTACATCTTTGTCGCTCAGGTAGCCAAGAAAAAATTACATATTAGTGGATCTATATTTGAGCACAACATAAAACATAAAATATAACAGCTAGGTTTGTTGCACTGTTTATTATGTGTTAGGCCCAATCTTGGTGCGTGTTAAGTTATTTAGATAGATCACTCTCCTGAGATGGACATTATGGCTACTCCCATTTTATAGATGAGAAGATGGAGGTACAGAGAAGTTAGAATTAACTGCCCGAGGTACACAGTTATTGGCTAAGCTAAAAGCTAGGCAAAGGCTCTCTGGATCCAGAGCCCTCGTTAACCAGTACAGTACGCTGACTCTTCTTCCTAATGGGAAACAAACTTTCTGTTTCTGTGCATTTTTATTGTAAAGAGCAATTAAGTAACAACCAGAATTGACAGTACATAAGATAATTTAAAAAGAGAGAGAGTAAAAAAACCCGCAACAACAACTACAATGAACACTGCTTTAGGATGTTGATTTCTATAAAGATGCCTGACTTACTAGGAAACCATTTTGGAAGTGAAAAAATATTCTTTTACTATTTGTGCTGCTTTCTCAAATTCAATGAGAAGCTGACTGATTTAAGATCTAGGCCCAGAATTGAGATAAATTTTCATCTTTTATTTATTTATTTATTTATTTGAGACACGATCTCATTCTGACACCCATGCTGGAGTGCAGTGGCACGATCTCAGTACATTGTGACCTCAACCTCATGGGTTCAGGTGATCCTCCTACCTCCGCCTCCCAAAGTGCTGGGATTACAGGCACTAGCCACCACACCTGGCATAATCTTTGAAATAAATCTATAATCTTATGCCAAGTGGTTCTCTGTCTGAATTCAAAATTTAATAGACTGTCCGGGTGTGGTGGCTCATGCCTGTAATCCCAGCACTTTGGGAGGTCGAGGTAGGTGGATCATTTGCGGCCAGGAATTAGAGACCAGCCTGACCAACATCGTGAAACCCTATCTATACTAAAAATACAAAATTAGCCAGGTGCAGTGGCAGGTGCCTGTAATCCCAGCTACACAGGAGGCTGAGGCATGAGAATTGCTTGAACCCAGGAGGCGGAGGTTGCAGTGAGCTGAGATAGCACCACTGCACTTTAGCTTGGGCGAAAAGGGCAAAACTCAGTCTCAAAAAAGAAAAAAGAAAAAAAAAAGATTTAATAGACCACAATGACTGAGCGCTCTGTATGAAATCAGGCCCTTTCCTCCGCTGAGAGAACAGCAGTGGGGATCAAGAGTTAAAGAAACTGGGACTCTAAGTCAGATCAATTAAAAGTTGCAAGGCAAAGGTGTCCTTTCAGACTTCTAGCTGCTTCGTGGCTCATAAAAGTTGAACATAAAACCTGGGAGACCAAATAATTTTATATCCTTAAGATATCCACATGTATTTTACAGTTTAGCTCAGATTTTAACAGAAGTTGAAATGAAAATAGAGATTTTTTCCATGTAATTCTGAAATACTGGATCTACTAATAATATCCAGGAGTTAAATATGGCCTTTATTTTTATTCTTCCTTTCCATACACATTTATTGAGCCTGTTTTCCTCCTACACTCTACATACTATGTTGAGCTCTTTGGAGGAAACAAATGTGACTCAGATAGGGACCCTGTTCTCTGAGAGCTTTTAGGAAACAGCAGGTACATAAAGAGTCAAAACCTAAGTCAAGATTTGATAAGGATGATAAAGAGGTATAAGGAAAATGCATGGGAAATGCAGAGGGGCCAGCAAGCCCTTCCTGGGATAAACAGGGAAGGCAATAGGAAGATGGCAGTGGAAGTGGAACAAGAGGCTAAAGAATAGCCTGAGCAAAAGCTTGGAGATGGGGGCACTGCAAGGGAGGTCAGGGACTAGCAAGTAATCCAGTATGCCCGGAGCCAGGGCTACATGCCAGACTGTGAAGGTTCTTTCCAGAATTCTACTGGGCTACATCCCTCACGGTGCATCCCCTCAGCCCAACACTCACCAGCTCGCCAGGCCCTGCTTCTGATTTGGAGCAGGTTTCTGAGAATGGCAGGTGTGTGGGAGATGCAGCTAAAGGACCAGGGGATGCCTGGAGCACAGCTGGGATGCCACCACCAAGTGTCAGGGCAGGCAGCGAGTGCAAGGATGCATGCTTGCCCAAGGGGGCCATGGCCGTGTGTGCTCCTGCGGACTTGAGTAGAAGAGCATAGGACTCGGCAGTTTTGAGAGCCTGGAGTCTCTGCACCCACTCCCAGGCCTTCCCACAAGTTAATTTATGTTTCTGATGTGACGAGTTTCCACTTGGAGAGTGAAAAAAAGCAACAGTGGTATCATGAAAATTATACTTGTAAAAGCCCCATGAAAATTATAGTTCGTCATTTTAAGGGATACTAAGACACCTAATCTTCTGCATTTACCCACAAGTCCTATTGATACTATATCTGAGAGATTTCATGTATATCCCCACTTCTCCATCTCCAGTCATTCTTCCTGACACTCAACTTCTACAGTTTCTCTTCTGGGCTCCTCTCCATCCTTCACACCACCAATAGAAAGATCTCACCTAAAAACCTTACAATAAAGTATTATCTAAAATCCTAACATGAGGTCAGTCGCAGTGGCTCACACCTGTAATCCCAGCTGAGGTGGGCAGATCATTTGAGGTCAGGTGTTCAAGACCAGCCTGGGCAACATGGTGAAACTCTGTCTCCACTAAAAATACAAAAAAATTAAAGAAATTAAAAAAAAATCAAAATCCTAACATGACATAAGGCTTTTCTTTAATCCAGCAAACTTCCCTGGATAGTCCAGCACCCTTCAAATCTCATGTGCTCACACTCTCCTCCATAGGTACCTGCACTCTAGACTTGTCAAATTAATTCTGCCTCCATTAAATATTCTCTCATTTCCATACCTTTACAGATACCATTCAGAAATTCTCACTCAATAGAGTAGGGTGGGGCTCAAGAATATTCTTTTCTAACCAGAACCCTGGGTGATTTCCCCCCAAGTATTGGTGGGGCATGCTTTACCCAATGAGGACGTTCACATGGATGGCCATAGGCCACTGAGATCATACTTGTCCAAAACGGACTCTGTGTCCTCCTTCTATCCCACTCCTTCCTATCCTCCCAATCAACAAATCCTGTTGATTCAAACTCAGAAATCTGTCTCAAACCCATCCACATCGCTACATCTCCCTGCCTTTACCCTAATTAAGACATTTATCATCCTTTGCCGTTTTTTGCTGTAATAGCCTCTTAACTGTTCTCTGTGTCCAGGTTTTTGTCCCAATCCAATCAATTCCCTATACTTTCTTTAGAGCGCTCAATATAAACTGAATCATGCCACTTCTCTGCAGACTTCCCTGTGCTGTGGCCTCTGCCAACCTCTCTTGCCCCATCTCTTATCAGCCCTCACCTTGTACTGGGTCATTGAGCCTCAGTGACCTACATGAATTCCTGCCTCTCTACTCTCTGCACCTTGGTTTACGTCATTTCTTTTGCCTAGTGGAGCGTCTGGATTCCTAATTGCCTGGCTTAGTCTTATTTGTCCTTCAAAAATTAGCTCTCCTCATTCAGGAAGGGATCTTGATCCTCTAGTCTGACTTAAGTTCTTCTACATTCTTTCCTGGCAGCAACGTCATGCATCACCACAACAGCCACCACCTTATACTGTAATCGTCAGCGTACCTAGCTGTTACCTAGGCAGCTAGGCCACATAGTATCCCTGTGTGAATTCTAAAGGGCACCCCTTTCTCCAGACTGGTTCCTGTCATTTGCTGGAAATTGCCATAAGACATGTACAAATCCATGATGGTCATGATGCAAGTGGCACATCCTAGTGTTCCGTGGTGTGCTGCCTGCCCGACCCCTGCGGCAATCTGGTGTTCCCTGCTAGAATATAAAATCCTGCTTTCATTTCACTATTTCATTTCCAGCACTTAACATAGGGTCTGATGTAGAGTGGGAAAGAAGCTTGATAAATAAATGAAAGGGAAGCTATTTCTGGCTATTATTCCCCATGCCAAAAATTCTGACAGCCCTTACCAGGGAGGAAGCTAAGCTGTAGCAGTACCCAAAGTTGAATGAGCACCCAAATATTCTGGAGAATTAAAAATTAATAAGTAAAACCTCCGTGCCTTACTTCAAAAGCACCAGGTTGGGGCCTGATTATCTGTCTTCATTTAAAAATTGCTGATGAGATTCTAATAATGATTAACCAGATCAGCTGGGAACCATTGGCCACCCAGGATACAACTGGAAACCACTCCCCTGGTCTTGTTTCTCCCTCTTGCCACCACAGTGCTGCCGTTTATCTGTGGATGCCACACCTGGGATCACAGAAGGAGTGTTTCCAAAGAAGGAGCTTGCTTTCTCTGACTTCTCCTGCATCTAGGTGTCTTAGATTCTTGTGCCTTCCAACTTAGACACAGGCACTCAACTAGCAATGAGCAAACATACACAGTAGGGCATTTGGAAGGAGGAGGGACAGCGGTGGAGAGAAGGCGGGTGATAGAGAGCTATCAAGAGACAGAGAGACCAGGAAAAAGAAATGTGATCTGCCCTTTTAATTTTCCAAAATAGTATTTAATCTTTGGACTTATGTAACCTAGAGGTTGCAGCTGGACTGTCTGCGCTGTGTACGCCCTATGGGTCAGGCAAATTTGGACATGTCTAGAGCAGCTAGGTGGATCCACCAAAGAGCTCTTTGCATCTGAAGGGCAACGCACATCACTTATTATTACTACGAAGTGGGGAGGGTGTCACTGGAATAACTGGGGGTCTAAAAGGAACAACTATAGATTCTGCTTGGCAGCTGGGAAGACTGCATGCATAAGCTGATGACATACATAATTGGATACCTACTGACCCTGGTGGAAGGAATTTGTGAGATGACAAAGTTACTGAAATTCTGTGGTAGGGGCTGAGCACATGTCACATGCACTAGATACCCCAGAACAAGACACGTAGAAACATGACTTACAATACAGAAAGATGTTGAGGGGAAGCTACTTGTATATGTGTATACTTTTTCTTGGATTTACTGGCTAAGAATATATACATTAAAACATGAATGGAAATTATTTTTCTTTTTTCTTGGGGTTGGGATAGGGTCAATCATTTATAAATAGGAATAAAATCATAATGGGATAATTTGGGAAGTGTATATGTTTGAGAAGAGGAACAAGTTGTATTTGAGGCAGAAATGGTAAATCTTTTTGCTTTTTTTTTTTCAAACAAGGTTTCACTCTGTCACCCAGGCTGGAGTGCAGTGGTGTGACGTGACTCACTGCACCCTCCACCTCAAGTGGAGGGCTCGAGTGATCCTCCTGCCTCACCCTCCCAAGTTGCTGGGACTACAGGCTTGTGCTACCATGCCTGGATAATTTATTTTTTGGCAGAGATGGGGTTTCACCATGTTGTTCAAGCTAGTCTCAAAACTCCTGGGCTCAAGTGATCCTCCCTTTTTAGCCTCCCAAAGTGCCGGGATTATAGGCATGAGTCCCATGGCCGGCCTTTCTCCTTGCATTTTTACAAGTTCACAAAGTCACTGTGTTCCTATGGCTTTTTATCCCTGATGGTAGGACATCAGAGCTTGAAGACACCATATACTTTTATTGACTGGGCCTTAAAGGGAACGAGTGAATCTGGTGAAATGATGAAGTCCACGCTCTTCCGGGGAGGGTCACCTATTATCAAGTGCATTTCTCAGTTAGAACCAAAGCTTAGAAGAGAGAAAAAGAAGTCTCTGATAAGCATGTGTTTAAGTGCTGATCAGAAGGCTATCTTTCACCTTGTGTTGATTCTTTTTCTCTGATTTGAAAAAGATCCTCTAAATGGCTTTACTGACTTGTTCTCCAGAGCACTGAGTGTGACAGTCAAGCCCCTATGGCTTCAGCAAGTAGAAACCTGACTGCTGCCTGCAGAGGATGACTGTGTGTCCCTGGGCCATTCGTCAGTCCCTCCCCGGGTGCTCACAGGCAAGGAGGAGCTCCTGAATCACAGTCCATTTTGTGAGTTGATTTTGTATTTCAGATCGACGCTGCCAAAGAAAGTTAGGTTTTACCTGAGATTATAGAGCCCTTCAGAATGTATGACTTGATATATCATAATACAATGCCCCCCTTAAGAAATACTTCTTCTCCCACATATAGGATTCATATCCAAATATTTAGGTCATATTAAAATTTAAAACAAAAAAACACATGCTTTTGTATTTCATCTTCTGAAACCTCTTAGGAGCAAAAACCAGTGCATTTAATTATATTCTGCACCAGCAGAATTAACACATGCTTATCAATATCAATAATAATAAGATAAATGTTAAATGTTCTCATTTATGTTTTGAAAGTAAAATGTATTTGAAGATGACAAATTCTGAAAACCGCTAAACACACAGAAATATACTTAAATGATAAAACATGTTTTATTTCTCCATGTTATATCTATGTTTCAATTCTTCTGGTTAAAAGAGAATTCCAAGTCATTTTGATATCTAAGAAGGACATTTGCTAAACAGAATTTTTAAAGAGTTTTAATTTTTTCCAGTTTGGTCTATAAGCAAAATACATGTTACCCAGCATGAAGATTATAGATCTATATCTTCTTCCACCTTTGCAGTAATTTGCAGTATGAGCTTGGAAATAACTTGCCACTAGAATTAACAGGTTCCTCAACTTTTCTCAATTTACTAATATTAGACGGTTCAGCTATACAACATTCTGCCTTAAAGAAAATCACCTGAGATACAAATGATATCACAAATCCTGGCTATACCACACAGTGGAAATATTTTTTCTCACTCAAATAAATATTTACTGTGCAGAAATACTTCTCAATTTTAAATTCTCCAAATGTGAGAATCACTAGTGTCTCAAAAATTTTTATAAAGAAAAACAACTCACCTATTTGAAGAGTATTTCCTTGCTAGGGACTGTGGTAGCTACCGTCATATAAAGCTACATTTTAGTCAGTTCTTTTTCCATCAGACAAAAACAGCCTCAGGTGAAAGCTGGGAGTGAAAAACTCTCCATTCACCCAAGAGGGGAGGACAGTGGTCTGCCAAGTCCAGCAGCCTCATCACACGCCCCACCAGCTGCTTGCTGCCTCTTGTTTCTCAGCGACAGTGACCTCCAACACTTTTTATTTAGCACTGCTACACACCGTGTGGTTTGACGGTACAAGGAACGTATCACGTGCCAAGCCAACACCTTAAGAGGGTGGGAAGCTTTGCAACCAGGAAGACTTGCCGAAAATATTTAGCAGTCAGCTCAACTGCACTTAAGCATAGCCTTGCTTGTTTTTCACAAAGCAATCCAACAACATAGTGAGTCAAGTGAACTGATTTGCACAGTCCTAAACTGGGAACCATCTGAAACTAAGTTTCCACTGCTCCAGAAGCTTCTCCTCTCTCACCTTATACATTCTGAGCAGTCACATGGGAACAGCCGTCAACATTTCTAATAACACTAATTACATTTCCTCCATTTTAGAATTCTATTTTTCTCCAGTCTCTTTGCTCACCTCACATTTGCTTTCATCTAGTCTTTATACTCCAACTCGCTTATGACCAGGACACATACTCTGCAAAGAGAGAGTAGTTTTTATTTAAATATATCTTCCTGGTCATGACATAGGCCAGATTCTTGGAGCAGTGAAAAAAACTGGCAATCGTGATTTCCCAGTGTTTAATCCATCACTCACCAAATGCACCACCAATGCACTCTGCATTTCGTTAGAAGTTGGATTTCAGGTGAGCCAAGTCTCATGGTTTCCTAAGAACTTTGTCACTATGGAAGCTAAGCCCCATTTCCTTTGTTATTAATACCACTGGAACTGAAATTCTAAGAACAAACATTAAACATTCTGAACACAAAGCAGGCTGCTGGCCTCTGATATCAGATAACAAATGGGCTGTAACATGACCTGAGTTTAACTCACCCTTTCTGTCCCAGTGATGGAAGCTTTGAAGTCTCCTTTCCAGATTTCCTGAACGAGAACAGGGAAGCAAATGACGATCTGAAGCTCATCCGGGAAGAAACAGATGTTGGTTTTTTTTGGTTAGTTAAATTTTTGGATCTTGATGTAGGTAATTCTATTGGATCTAAAAAAAAAATTGTAAAATTTTTGTATCAATTATTTCCGAGCAAATATACTTGAAAGAATGAAGCCTTTGCTCTCGTGTCACTTTCTCCCTCTATGCAGTCTAGAAACAGGGCAGGCATCCTCACATGATGACCTCAGGGGATTAGGGGAGTCAGAGCAACCTCTCTCCCGCGCTTCTGATGGTTCTGCGGCATAGTGAAAATCCATATAGTAGGGAATCTTTCAATGTGTACTGTGAATCAAAGTTCCAGACAGTATTCCTCCTTTACCCAAGCTAGGAAGTCAGGGACGCCATTCAATTCTCATGTTGCTTAACCATGCTGTCCTTCAGAAGTTTTTATTTTAGTAACTTAAAACCATGGTGATACAGACATGCTACATAACTTCTTATACTGAAAAAGCAAAGGAAAAGGAAATTAAGCCATTTAAATTGTTCTTTACTCCTTTCCAAAATCTATCTCTGTGGATATGTATTTGCTACATACATGGCTTTTATCTATGTTTGCATGTAATGTATACAGGGTGAACATTCTAAATCCTAAAAACTTGAAATCCAAAATTTCTCCAAAATCCAAAAATTTTGAGCACCAACATGATGCTTGAAGAAAATGCGCATTGGGACTGGGTGCAGTGGTTCACGCCTGTAAGTCCAGCACTTTGGGAGGCCGAGACAGGTAGATCACCCGAGGTCAGGAGTTTGAGACCAGCCTGGCCAACATGGAGAAACCTCGTCTCTACTAAAAATACAAAATACAAAATTAGCCAGGCGTGGTGGCACATGCCTATAATCTCAGCTACTCAGGAGGCTGAGGCAGGAGAATTGCTTGAACTCAGGAGGAAGAGGTTTTGGTGAGCCAAGATTATTCCATTGCACTCCAGCCTGGGCAACAAGAGTGAGATTCCATCTCAAAAAAAAAAAAATGCTCATTGGAGACTTTCAGATTTGGGATTTTTGGATTTGTGATGCTCAACTTTTCAGTTTATATAATGCAAATACTTCAAAATACAAAAAGATCTGAAATCAGTAATACTTCTGGTGCCAAACAGGTTGGATAATGGATATTCAAACTATTTATGTATAATATATATGTATGGATAATATATAGGTATTAAAAATTCAAAGGCAACATCAACATATACAAAACCCATAACATTGGCCAGGCACAGTGGCTCACACCTGTAATTCCAGCACTTTGAGAGGCCGAGGCGGGTGGATCACCTGAGGTCAAGAGCTCGAGACCAGCCTGGCCAACATAGAGAAACCCCATCTCTACTAAAAATACAAAAAATAAATAAATAAATAATCCATAATATTATGATGATTTTGGACATGCTGAGTTTATAAATATTAGAGGAATTTAGGACAAGGGAAAAGTCACCAGGATATATATGGGGGTGTTCTAAAACTCTGAACTGTGAGTCTTTTTTTTTTTTTTTTAAGACGAAGTTTCGCTCTTGTTGCCCAGGCTGGAGTGCAGTGGCGCATTCTCGGCTCACCACAACCTCTGCCTCCTGGGTTCAAACGATTCTTCTGTCTCAGCCTCCCAAGTAGCTGGGATTACAGGCATGTGCCACCATGTCCAGCTAATTTTTTATATTTTTAGTAGAGACGGGGTTTCACCATGTTGGCCAGGATGGTCTCCATCTCTTGACCTCGTGATCCACCTGCCTCGGCCTCCCAAAGTGCTGGGATTACAGGCGTGAGCCACCGCGCCGGGCGAACTGTGTCTTTTTCCATAGATTTGTTTATTATAAGAGTTGCAAAATATTATCAACATAGAAGTTTAGATGTATTTTTACATGTTTCCTGATGTTGCTAATGTTAGCAACATGCAAAAAACCAGTCTATGTGACTCTGCATCAGTAAAGAGATACTTTATTTTGGTATTTAATAATTTCTAGTGCACTTCATTTTCCTCACAATAGTCCTATGAAAGCAAGTTTTAGAATCCTTTTAATCTGTTTTTATAGATACAAAAAGAATTGATTGGTGAAGTTAAATACATGTTGGTAGTCACACAGAGAACCCACAGAAGGCTTTTACTGGAACTCATTCAAAGAGTTTACCAAAGCTCCAGAAGTGTGGCAGCTCCTGCACCACCTTCCCTCCCTTCTCCTCGGATTCTCCCTTCCTCCACTCCTTTGCTTTTTCTTCCCCCTCTTCATCATAGTCATCCCATTTATTTAAGTGCTTACCCCGTTCCAGCTTAATATTGTATTATTTATTTATTTATTGAGGTGGGGTCTCACTCTGTCACCCAGGCTGGAGTGCAGTGGCACGATCTCACTTCACTGCAACCTCTGCCTCCTGGGCTCAACTGATCCTCCTGCCTCAGCTTCCAGAGTAGCTGGGGCTACAGGTGTGCACCAGCATGCCCAGCTAATTTTTGTATTTTTTTGTAGTGATGAGGTTTTGCTATGTTGCCCAGGCTGGTCTCAAACTCCTGAGCTCAAGCAATCCTCCCACTTTAGCCTCCCAAAGTGCTGGGATTGCAGGTGTGAGCCACTGCCCCCACCCAGCTTAATACATTGTACACATAATTTTATTTAATTCTCATAACCACCCTATGAGGTAGGTATCAATGTATCAATTTAAAGATGAGGAAACATTATTCTCTGTTTACAGAGAATAAATGACTTGAACAGACTCACATGAATAGAGACAGAGTGGAGATTTAAATATAGGCCTTTGTTGACATCAGTGTCTACGTTCCTACCCACTACGCTATCTTGCCTGATTAAAAACAAAAAACAAAAAAAACCCAAGACATTATTACAGTAAACTTTCAGTTCACTTCTTTTTAATGTATATTGTATTATAAACTTTTGTGCCTTATGACTTTAAAATGGTTCTAAACATGGATTAGTTACACTGGAGATACACTGGGCCATTATCTGGAATACTATGCCACAGAAGAAAAAAAGAAAAAAAAACTTTAAAATCTTTTTCTTACCATTTTTTGCCATCTCCTTCCTTAGCCTGTATGTAAGTGGTTGTTTTAACATTTGGCTAACGTCTGTTTCATCGCAAAACTTTTTTCTTTGAATTTCTTCAAACCATTCACCAGTCACTCCCTGAAGCCATCTGATATCCCTCTTTGTCTTCTGAAGTTTACTGAAATAAAAATATCAATGCAGTCTTTATTTTCTTAACATCAAGCTCATCCTTAAATCAATGTACTTTTTTTTGAAATGGGGAAGTCTCACTCTGTCACCAGGCTGGAGTGCAGTGGTACAACCTCATCTCACTGCAACCTGCACCTCCTGGGCTCAAGTGATCCTCCCACCTCAGCCTCCCAAGTAGCGGAGACCACAGACACATACTACCATGCCCAGCTAATTTTTTCTATTTTTAGTAGATATGGGGTTTCACCATGTTGCCCAGACTGATCTTGAACTCCCAAGCTCAAGCAATCTGCATGCCTCAGCCTCCCAAAGTGTTGGGATTACAGGAGTGAGCCATCTTGCCCAGCCTCAATGCACTCTTTAAATTCATTCACATCTAATGCAAATTCATGTGATGGGCTAAACTTTTCCTAATGGAGGAGCAGCATAATCTATAAGTCTAGGAAAAAAATGGCCCGAATCAGAATTTCCCTTTCAGCACTGTATGTATTTTAGGTGTTTTCTTGTTTCTTTTTTTCATATTCTTGTAAATATGATGGCAAACTAAAAGTTTTACCGGTAGTTAAAATAATCATCAAGCTGATGAGGACAACCTGGATTAAGCAATGTGCTAAAACCTGACCTAATAATGCAATTGAATAATAGATGTTCTAACAACATGCAGAAACTAGAATATTCTCATTCTGATTACTCATTCATTCACTTGTTAATTCATTAAATGTTTATTGAGCAATGTTAATCAATTTAGTGTTTATGAGGTCCCAGGTAGGCCATGGATTTAACAGTCAAAGTAACAAATAGGATACTTGCTTGTCAATCCAGTGGTCAAAGATAAAAGCTAACATGCAGAAAAAAATTATTGAATGTAATGGTCTTCTTCTTATTCTTATTATTTGAGACAGAGTCTTGCTCAGTCTTTGAAATGGGGAAGTCTCACTCTGTCACCCAGGCTGGAGTACAGTGGCATGATCTTGGCTTACTGCAACCTCTGTCTCCTGGGTTCAAGCAATTCTCCTGCCTCAGTCTCCTGAGTAGCTGGGATTACAGGTGAAAGCCAGCACACCTGGTTAATTTCTTTATTTTTAGTTAGAGGTGGGGTTTTGCCATGGTGGTCAGGCTGGTCTTGAACTCCTGACCTCAAGTGATCCCCTGCCTCAGCCTCCCAAAGTGTTAGAATTATAGGCATGAGCCAGCATGCACCACCAAATGTAATGGTTTTAGATAATGGACATCTTTACACACAAAACACAAAAACCCATTAGTGAGCACAGGTCTAATGCAAAGGTAGTAAGGGATGAGGTAATTTGAGATGGACAGAAAAACCACACAGTGTACAAATGTGTCTGCTCTATAATTTCAGAACACATGGTCTGAAATCCTATTACGTTTTTTTTTCTAGTTTCCTCCCCTTTCCTGCCCAGTTCTCTTTAAAATGAAAGTACCGCTTGAAGTTAATTAAATCCCTGGTTATTGTGATTTATTAATACTTTTTTCAAAGTAGATTAATTCGCTTTATTTAAGGAAGACCCTAGAACTGTTTGGAAATGAGAGGTGCTTAATCCGGAGGGAGATGTTCCTGGATAGGCAAAATGAGCAGAAAGGGGTGTTTGAAGAACATGATCACAATGCTTATAGAGTGGTTACCTTTTTTTTTTTTTTTTTGAGACAGAGTTTTGCTCTTGTCGCCCAGGCTGGAGTGCAATGGCACGATCTTGGCTCACTGCAACCTCTGCCTCCCGGGTTCAAGCAATTCTCCTGCCTCAGCCTCCCCAGTAGCTGGGATTGCAGGCATGTGCCACC